TGCTCTAAATGCACCCACTCCTGCTTGCTTTGTCTTTTGGTAAATTCTGGGGGCAGTTGGGTAGCTTGGATTGTGGCAGTGTGTCACCATTGGAGGGAAAGAGTAATTTTTTTATATAGTTTTAACATCTCTGAGGCTGTAGATGTCAGCAAAAGGGGGTTATTTCTGATGAAGCTGTAACAGGTTACTCACATTGCCTGGCAGGTGACAGCTTACTTCACTACTGAATTACACACGCAAATTCAACTCCTGTTCTGGCTAGAAGTTTTGATCATGAGTGTCCCAGCTTTCTTTAAAAGGAAAAAAAAAAGAGTCAGCATGATAGTCCAAACCTGGCTGCAAATTCAAACTAGTGAAAAGCAGGTGAGAGAGCAGCTGAGAGATTTATCCATGGATTTGTACAAATAGATATGTCTGATGTTTGCAGTATAAAGAGCATGAGGATGTGCCGTAGGGTACAAAAAAATCCACTTGTCCTTGAGGCTGCCTTAAGGAACTGTCTGCAGTAATTGTCCACCACTTTTACAGGTTTCAAAACTTGCAGTCTGAGAAGTTTCTAAGCCTTGTGGGACCTGCAGAAAATGGAGTGAACGTGAGCGGGTCCCGCGCTGCGGCAGAGCGGCCGCTGACGAGCGCCTTGGCAGTTTTCACTGCTGCTATTTCAGATTCTGTGGGTGGCAGGGAAACAAGCAGGAATTAGGTCAATTTAGCTCTTGCTGCTGCTTGGGAAAGGGAAGAGCAGCTGCTGAGGCAACCGCAGGACTTATTCCCTGTAGAAGAGCAGACAAAAATTGAAACTGGGGGAGGGGATAGGACACTGAGCTGCGATGTGAGGAGGAGGGAGATCAGGTGCTGGAGTTGCCTAGACCAGGAGTGAGCATTGCCTCAGGTGCATGGGACATGCATGGGCTGCATAGGTGTGTAAATAGCCCTGAGGATGTAGTAACAACATTGTCCTGCATCCTGGAAAGGGAAAAAAAGAGAGATGTGTTTAGTCTGTGACTGCCCTGAAAATGTTTCCTCTTCCCTTACTGTCCTCTGTTAGCAGTGTTGAGGCAGGGCTAAAATCTGTATTTATGGAAAGACATGTAGTTTGCTACTGGTAGGATCCTTGGTAACTGAGAAGACAGAAAGGAGCTGGATTTCTAGCTAGAGCATTTGCAAAGCTACCTGCAGGACATGTGCTCTGCTGGGCATTACAGGGATGCTGCAATGCTTATTGGCAGGGCTGTAGCTCTTTGGGAAGGAGAAGGTACCCAGAATAATACACTGCATGGAGGCAAACAGGCTGCAGTTGTTTTCAGTTTAGGGTGACTTAATGCTTTGTTTGCCCCCCCTTATCCACCCAGATGAGTTCCTTGGTCTGGGCTCAGCAAGCCCACAGAACCAGCTCTATCAGCAGGACTGGAAGGGCACTGCAGCAGATGTGAGCAGGCAATGGGCAAGGAGGAAAGAATGTGGCAACACAGGGCAGCATATGGGGCTGCCCTGCTCTCCTCTGAAACCACAGCCTAAGAGGGAAAGATTGCCTATGATAAATATAAGATTTCTCTCACTTGTCCACTTCAGAAACAGCACCTGAGAAAAGATCCTGTCTGGAGCATTGCAAAAGAGTAAACCCTTATGTTCTTCTGCTATCCCCCAGGTATCTGCCAAGGGCGCAGTCAAGCATCCACCCCAAATATATAATAATAAAATACAGCCCCAAATGCAGGCTGCAATGATTTTTCTAATAGCAGTAGCCCAAAAAAAAAAAGAAAGAAGTCTTGCTTTTCTGTTTTATAATCCACTGACTTTCAGGCATAATAAACTGGTAAAAAAAAAAACACTCACAGAAAGTCTGGGTTTACAGAAGGTGAAAATCTGTCACCAAAAATGGTAATGTTGTTTTAATTATGCCAGGGTTTGAAAGAGGCTTGCAATCAGGCTTTCTGCTCTGCACTCCAGGGCCTGATGGGTGCCAGAGTTATTGTCTCTTTACGTTTCACCCGGTCCCACCAGCTGCCAGGCCGCAATAAAGTTATGTCTGAGTCACTGGTTCCCAAAAGAACAACAAGTAGGTTGTGTGTAGCTGAATAGGACGATGCTGGTCCTCCACTGATCCTGCCAGCTCAGGTCTGGCCTCGGGCCATAACTGCACGATAAATCAAAACGAATGCTGTCGGCTGTTTAAGCGAGCTGGTTGGCTGGGGGTAGAAGGGGAGAACAAGGCATGCAGCCGAAAAGGGGACTGGGATGCCAACAGAAGAACCATTGGCCCTGTTTCAGCTTTTCAGCAAACAGAACGGATCACTGGAAAGACACAATGGACCTTGTTTGCAGTTGGGAGAGGGGGGATGGATGCCTTTTTCGGGTACCATGCCAGGCAGAATAGTTGCTGCTGACGTGGGTCACTGGTCTTTGTGTGCTTTGGTCCTATTGACACCATTAGTTTAGTGACACTGTGAGTCACTAAATTTGTTGTGCAAATATGGAGAAGTAGGATGCTTTTGAGTTTTTTGGTTGGTTTGGTTTTTGGTTTTGCCCTTTCTGTTTGCTTAGACCAGTAAAACAAACTTCAGGTGTTACGTAGGACGATCTGGCATATACCTAGCCAGTGGGGCAGATATACAAGGTGAGCCTGGTTGAGGTCTGCTCCCCACTATGGGATCACTCTCCAGGCTGGATTAGTTCCTGTGAGGGAAGACAGCTTGTGTCTGTAGCTGTTTTCCAAAGGCTGCTGGTGGTGAGCATGGCAAGTCACTGCTCAGGTGCATGGCAGCTCCAGGTGACTCTGTAATATGCAATGAGGGGATTCCTGTTGTCTGATTGCATATCTTGGCATCTCACAGTGCTGTTGTGATGTCTTTTGCTGCCTCCAAGGAGTGGTCTGGGCTCCACTCTTCCAGGTGAACCAAATAATGTCCAGTTTTGCAGATTGCTGAGTTTTCTGCCTTCTTAGTTTTCTTTCCACACAGGAAGCATGCTCAGGGCTTAAGCATGTAATTCCTCATTTTTCATTCTTAATACACCTAAGCTGTGTGTGCATCGAAGTAGAATAGGGAGGAGTCTCCTGACATGAAGATGTATCTTTTTCCCATAGTCCAGATTTGGTTGCACAGTCCAAACACAAGTGCTATCTCCAGACGTGACATGGCTGCTTTCTTCCAGCTTGCTTTTCTATCAGAGTGCATTCTTATAATCTGATTTCTAGCTTGTAGCTATGCTTTGAATTTGGCAAAGCAAAGGTATTTTGGTTTTGCTGACAAAATCTATAGAGTTCAGTCCTGGCTGATTATTTGTAATGGTTGACCTAGGTTATGGGAACTAGTTCATTAGCTGAGAGTGATAAAGGAGGTAAAAGATAAAGGTCATGATATCAGTAGGATTAGTTGGGTGAATTAAAGGACATGTGGAAACACAGCTAATCAGGATAAGGGCCACACAAATGATACCTTCTACTAACAGCCTTCAGCACTCTGATGCCTTGAAATATAGCTCCTGCACAAAACAAGCAGGAGAAGGAAAGATGCCATGTACAACAAGCCACAGTGCTGAGCACCAAAGATCAAAGAGGTAGACAGCTAAGTGTTCTGGGGTTTCAACTGCCAGGTAATTTTGAAAATTCTTCACTGCAAGGAACATCTTCATATCCCCTGAATTGGATTCCTCACTATTTTTCCTGAAAGCAGTGTCTTTCTCTTACTGCCAGCAGTTATTAACTCCCATCAAGTGTAACTGGATATACAGGAAAAGTAAAGGTCCTGCTGCAGTAGTGTCAAACTTAATTTATATAGTGCAAAACTGGAACATCTTTTATATAATAACTGACAGGCTTACCAGCTCAAATGGACTGGTTTGCTCCAGCAGTGCCACCAGGCAGAGACAGCCCTTTTGGAAAGCGCCATAATGCAGTGCTGAAAAGAATATGGGTGGTGGTGAGAGGACAGCAGAGTAACTGGAGAGGTGTGGGCCAGGCAGCCCATCCTATCTCCCTGCTCCTGCAATCCTTCCTCAATAAATCTGCTTTATCGCTTTGGCATTTGCTGTTGGGGTGAGGAGCTGGAGCCTGACTGACAGAAGCACTTTTGGCACACCATTTAGAAAGTCTTGTGAAGTGCCAAGAGAAACATGAGTGATGTAGCATGTTCACATTTTTAATTTGTCTGTGTTTGAGTGGTGTATCCGGGGTGTGTCGGTTTGGGGCTTAGACAGGCTTTTCCTGGGAAAATAGCTTACACAGACTCTACATAAAGGTGCTGTATAGACAGACACACAGAATGGAGCACAGGGAGACATCACCACATATCAGAGCCCTGTGTAAGTTATTTATTTGTAATTAAAAAGCAAAACAAAATGAGATTTGTTTTTCTTGTTCTGGCTGCCATCAGTCTCTCTTCATTTACTGTGGGATAATGGTGAGATGCTCAAAGCCATATGGAAGCTCTGGGAAACAGGCGGTGGCACTCTGGAAAAAGTTGCTTCTCAGGTGTAAGTAATGTCAAAGTAAGGAGAAATTACAACAAACTCCCATGCACAAATAAATGTGTTAAAAGCAGATTTGGTGTAGATAAGTTGGTAATGATCTTGCAGTAATGCACTCTTAATTAGTACTGTTAGTAAAAAAGGGTTACAAAAGGTTTACATGACTAGAGTCTGGTTTCAAACAGGTCTTTGCATCACCAGAAGTAAATAATCTCTGAATCTTAAATTCAGGGAAAATTTTTCAGTTGGAAAGGCTCTCTGGAGGTCATCTGGTCAATCCTCACAGAGGTTCACAGCAGGGCCGATTTCAAAGTACTCAGCTTAATAATTCAAAATGTTAACATAAAAAGCAGCAGTGAAAATGATTTCCAGAGCATGCAATTTGAAGAGACTACAACATCACCAAACTGCAGTGGCAATTGCATTGAAGCAATGTTAGGATCTAAAGGGAATCGGTGCCCTGCCAGTCATATTTTCTTCTGTATGAGGTATCCATGTGAAGTGCTCATACTGGGCTTATACTTCCCACAGAGCTGAATCTTTCCCTTTCAAAAATCTGTGCACAGACTCTCAGAAGCACCGTTGTTGCTCACATGGTGGGAACTCCCTGCAGGAGCTTTTCTTCCCAAGAAGCTGTCTAGACCCCAGCACCTCCCGACTGCTGAGCCAGCCCCATTCCAGGTATGAGCTGGTGCAGTTCCACCGACTTCTGTGGAACTGCTGTGGCATGAAATGAGGATGAATCAGGCCTATAGTCTTTCTTCTGAACTATGAATGTCAGTGCTAGCCTGGAGAAATACAATTTTCAGGCTGATGTGGTTTGACACCAAATTCTACAGCAGAGACAGTGGACAGCCCAATGACTGAGTTGCCTCCCGCGGGACAGCGATGAGTGATGGGCAGGAGCTTCTTTTATAGACAGAGGCATTCTCTGTTCAGGCTCAGTAACATCCAGACCCGATTGATCTTCATAAAGAGCTGCAGTTTGGGCCTTGTGCCACGGAAATCTCTCCCTTTTCTCTCTGCATTACTCATCTTCCTGAGGGCCCTTTGCTCTCAGATTTGCTGCTGTTTCTGGAAAGCATCCTGTCGTAGAGCCTGCGGAGAGCACGCGCCTTCCATCACACAGTGAAAAAGGCTGGTCACAGATTCTTCTTGTCAAGTCCAAAAGCAAATCAGATTGAAAATGGAGAATAACACTACCTTTGCTAAATACTTCTAGCATTTTACTCTGAGAAGGAAAAGTGATATTCTAATGTGACAAATAGCTCTGTTCTCCCTGCTGACAGGTTTGGGGTCATAGCCCTTCAGGCACCTCAGAGTAGCAATGTTCATTTCCATCTTGTGCTCAAGGAGGAGGTTGAGGCCATCTAAAATGTTCTCTGTTGTTATCTTGTGCACTAATAGGTGCTGTCAGCTATAATGAGGGCAGTGGAGACTCTCTGGTCATCATTTGAGTCTTCACTTTAGAAAAATGTTGCCAGGAGAGGGCATTTTCATGTTTCTTGTTTTCCACTCTCCAAACTCAAGATTGCCAAAGCACATTTTGTCTCATAGGAGGGAAAAAAAAAAAATTTAAAATTTTATTTGACCTTTCTTCTGAGTATATCCTGTGTAACTTGTTTGTGGCACAGAGAATTGACACACAGTCCTGGAAGGTCAAGTAAGACTGTCATCTTGTTTCTCCTTAGCCTTCAAGTCATAATTTTCAGCTACTAATGGCTATGATTTGTTATGTATAAGCTGTAATAACACACTGCTCAAGTTAATGAAGTCCTACTTCCAGAACTCTAGGCTAACCATAACTTAACTCTTAAGAGCTCTGCTTTAGGGTTTAACTGTTTGGTTATGCTTCAGGTGATTAAAGAAAGGAACATCATAATAATAAAAATTAAAACCACCAAGTATTACAAAATGAAATTTCATTATGGTTTCTGTAATACTCAGTAAACATTTGTTGAAAAAGCTCACAATTCAAGCCTTTTTCAACACAAGTAACAAACAAATTATAGCAATTTTCAAAAGCATCATGAAACAACAATTGTGAGACCATCTGAGGCTAAACAACCCCTATTGAGATGCAGTGGTAGCAATAGCAAGACAGGCAGAAAATCTATAAAGATAATTAAGAAATTATCCATTTGAGAGAACTTTAAGTATCTTTTATGTTTTCATCTGTAGAAGCCAATATATGTAACTTCCTTCTCACATCTTCCCCACCTCTAATTATTTAACAACAACAGAGGAATTACTATAGTGTAAAGAGGCATCTGGGAATAAAGCATGGGGGCCCAAGCATTGGTTAACACTCTGTCTAACTGACTCTTCTTCTGGCAGTGCTAAAATTCCACTACAAAATACTAGCCCCAGGGGTAAACAAACTCAGAAAAAAGACTTTAAGAACATTTTTCAAGAATAACACTATGATGCTTACAGTGGACAAGAAAAGAAAGATAATAAGTGCCAGCAAATTCAAGATGTCCTGATTTGGTTTGCATTGTGCCTAGAACTGGTTTTACCCACTCTGTGCTTTTACTGTCTCCTGATAGTACAAAACACAGTGATTTTATTATGCAAGCATCACACAGATAAAAAGGAAAAAAAAAAAAGATGTCTCAGCTACAGCTACCTGTGAAATAGATCTTTTAATATATGTGAAAAGTAAATAAGAACTCTCCCACAAATGCCATTCTTGGCAAATTGTGTAGTGGCCCTCAGAAAATCAAGTGGTGCATGCAGTGCACATGTATGAGAAAGCATTTTTTATTATATAGGTAATACTGTTTCAATGGAGGCCTATCTTCTTTAGAAGAAGTACCTTTAGAACAAAAATAATCCAAGGTAATAAGGCAGTTGAAGACCAGGAGTTGTCTGAGCTGCTTAGTCCAGAGCAGTTTGGGGAGTGAAGAGAAGACAGGCATTTGTGACTCTGGATTTGGGAAGAAAAAGATGGGCCAGTGCTGTGAAAGTGTCTGCTATAGTCCATCTATCTGCCACAGTGGGACCCCAACATATTCATCTTTGGAGCAGATCATTCTGTATCTGCCCTTCAGTGGAAAAAAAATGGGCTGACTGAAATGTGTCTTTTGAGGACCAATTTTATCTAATTAATTTTGCTGCTTCACGCAGCTGAATAAAAAGCAAAAGATATTTTCTTCTGAGGGAGTTGAATCTCATTGTGGTTCCTCTTCTTGTTTCTTGTTCTTCTCTTTCCCACGGTTTCCCTTCCCTCAACCATCCCAAAATCAGGTCTAGGAGCTGAAAGCAGTCAAGAGATAGAGACTATTGTCTCACTCATGTTGGTGTTAGATTCCTTACTCCCAGCACTGTGGGGAGGGCAGAGCCATGCAGAGTGATACATATTGCTGGGATTGCATAATGATCCTAAATTGCCACTCTAGTGCAAATAAAAATATGTAAATTATATCAGCCCTGATGAATGTAAAGCTGAGACAAGCAAATATGGGAGTCCCAATAAGAAGCTAGATGCCTTTTTCTAGGATAATAAAGACTTGCTAATTTGTTTCCATTTTTAGAAAATAAGGAAGAATCACTGTAGTGATAGAACAACCACATTTTATCTAAAGTGCTTTCTTATCAAATGTAATTATGCAAAGATATATTCTTATACAGTCTAACTTCGGCAGGCTGAAGGTTTTTTACTTATTGGTGAGAAGCCCTAAGTAAAGAAGTCATAGAATAACATGAAGGAATAAATGACTAGGGATCCTATCAGAGATTTCAGAATTCAAGTCTTTCTCCTTCTGTCAGATTCTTTGTGAGCAGCCCCCACAATGTTAAATGCATTAGATCACTTAGACAGGGAATCTCTTGCTCAAAACAGTAAACTCACTCTTGTCAATGATCTAGAAATAATGAAGGAACTTTCTGAACAATTTCCACAAAGTCTTCTTTAACCTATGCTAAAAAAGAAAGTAGAATATTACTTATGCTGGCTGTGCACAGATTTGATTTTTCAGGACTTTCTCTTGGTGCCTTGCTCTATGGATCATTTCAGCTGAGTGAGAAAGGGGAGAAGTATGATTATGTCATGCAGATTTCATTATAAAAGTAGTTAACTTTTTCTGCATAGTTATGGAAAATGGTGAACTCAGAGTGCTGTGAGGATTATGCTTTTCTATTAATAAATAAACTGTCCAATTTAATGCACCTAATTTTTTTTTCTCCAAAACTTTGCTGTAAATTATATGTCTGCATTATAAGAATCATGGAAAATTCCATCTTGTTTATGTATTGTGTAAAGGCTAGACTGACACTGAAGTGTGGGTAATTTTCAGAATTCTACAGTGCCAAACCTTGAGTACTGCATTTGTCACTGCAGTTCTATTTTGAGCAGGTCCTCAGGATCCCTGCTGCTGCTTTGCTCATCTCTGACTGCCCTCCCTTAGACCAGTCTGATTCACTGTATGTAGACCATTCTACTTCACTGTAGGTCTGGAAGAAGTCATTCAGACCACCTCAATGTCTTCAGGCTATGTCTGTCTGCTTCCTAATACCCCCTTGTGACAGATCCCCCAGTCTCCCTAGGAAATTCATTCAAGTAATTTCCTGCTCTTACTTGCCTATTTTATTCTTACACCTGACCTAGATGTCTTCTGCTACAACTTAATTATTCCTTAATTGCTCCCATTATTTCTTGTCCTATCCTCTCTATTCATGGAACACAGCCTCTTTCTCCTTGCTGTAATCTTTTATGTACCCATGGCTTAACTCTTTGGAAGCTGCATGGAATATGCCAGTCCAATCCCTCTTCATTGTTTACATTTTGGGGAGACAGAGAAGAGGGAAACTAGGGGCTTAAGACTTTTTGAAGACTTCTGACTATGTGGAAATAATTTCTTACCACTGACAGGCTCTTGACCTCAGCTCTGAGGACTAAAATAGTTTAGAGCAGATTTTTACCTTGCTTATGTTCATTTTAGACAAAAGCTATTTAGTGGTCACTAATGGGAACAAGAAAGTTTAAGATGGTGATGCCTCTTGTTCTCTGCCAGCCCAGAGAGTGAGATCATGACTGAGAAGAAGTTGCATGCCCAGTGTTAAGAAGTAACAACAGCAGCCATATCCAAATTCTGCACTAGCGACAAAATACTCTACGCTCTGTCTTGTGGTTTGTCTGGAGTTCTGCTTTCCAGAGATTTTTGTTACACTGTGGCTTTTGAAGACACAGAGTCCTGAAGTAGTGGAAGTGAGGGACCTCAAAAACCTTTGTGTGACTCCCTGCTGTGTAAACAACACCAATACAAAAATGGTGCATGGACAGGGGAGGGGGTGGGAACATAAGGAAGGAAAGGTGGGAGTCTGAGGCTGCAAGAGATTGGGACAATTAAGCATGAACCCAGACCTGACACCCTGCCCTGATTAATTTAACAATAATTAAAGACTTTCAGCGGAGATCAGCGTTCTGCTGGTTCCCAGCCATGCAGAGAAGGATGAGTTGTGCAACGGTAACCAGCCCCTATTCATCACAGGCAACACACAGCAATTACCAGTGCTGCCTATTAACTGAAGCAGAATTTTGCATTAATTGATTTACTGGGACCTTTTATTCCCTTTCTCTTTTGTTTCCTCCTTTTGTCCCTTATGTTTTTGTTTAAAGGGCTGGTTCATTTGGCCACATCACACAGCAGTGCTTGGCCACGGGGGATGTGTCCTTGGGTTATGGGGTGGAGCTGCTTGGATTTGAGACACTGCCCTCTGCAACTGTCCCATCATTCTGAGTCTGTTTCCAAGGATGCTGCCTGCGAGACAATCTTTCTTCTGAAATCTACTGTAGTAAATGAAGTGCATTAGACATCCTCTCCTTCCACCTCCCTTCCCCACACCTCTTCTTGCACTCCTCTGTTTTCAGTAGTGATACCATTTGCTTCTCATTTCACGCTGAATATGAGAGAGAAATCTCATTATTTCTGACTTAGGTATTCACATGTTTCTCTCTACAACATGTCATGCCAGTTGCCAGCTTGTTACAACATCAGAAGAAGAATTCAAAGTGCTGATTTATCTGCTATTGGAAATGTCTCTAGGGATGAAAGCAGATATGGTAAGGAGGGGGAAAGGGAGAGGAAACAGGGAAAACAGCACAGTGCTGCAGCTTTCCAGAACAAAAAATCTAGCCTTATCTTAGTTTTCTTGCTTATTTGCTCCTGTTCTGCTAGGTGGACAGGCAGAATGATCAATGGATGTGAAATAACCAAAGAAGTAATGGGCAGGAAGGTTGTGGGTTTTTTTTTTTCATCTGCAGAGGAAAACTGTGGGAGAAGGATGCTACGAAGTCTGGCTGGTAGCTGTTGAACAAAAAGAAGAGAAAAGAAAAAAAAGTTTGATACTTGATCCCAGTCTTTTGTTGGAGAATGAACAGTAGTTTTATTTTAGAGCTGAAAGGCTTCCAAACACAAAGAACTCCAGTCTGCTGTTTGCACTGAACATTGGAGTCAGGTGTCTAGTTTTGGTCCTCTGTCTATTTTTTTTCTGTTTCATGTGTCTGGCCCCCTATATAATTTGTTGCAGGAGTGGGTAGTTGATGACCTCTCTAGCCATAGGCATGACATTTCTAGCTGTACCCACAGAAAAGTAAAAGGGAGTGAAATGCTTTGGTATCCTCAAACATTGGTATTTATTTTTCATGGGCATGTAGCAGTTCAAATGAGGGATTCCCCTCTTCTTTATGCAAAAGACACAAACCAGTTGAGGCAAGAAGATACCTCTAGAGTGTACCCAGCCCAACCCCTGCTCAAGGCAGAGGCAGTTGCAGCAGATTGTTCAGAGCAGTGTCCAGCTGGATTTTCAGTTTCTCAGAGGATGGAGACTCCACAAGCTCACCAGTCAGTCTGTGTCAGAGTTTGACCAGCCTCACCACAAGGAAGCTTTTTCCCCCCTGTATTTAATTTTTGTGCCCAGAACACTGCCTGTGGCACTTCTGTGCTGTATGGGAGAGTGGCACAGCACAGGTGGCCACAAAGAAATGCCTTTAGGTGCTACAAAGATGTGTAGCTGCTGCTCCAGCCTCATGCCCTGTGGGAAAGAGGGCACTGGGAGGTAGCAGGCAGTGGTGTCTCCCCTTTCCCCCGTGTTTGTGGGGAAGCAGAAGCTTTCAGTATCCAAAGGAAAAGGCAGCACAATCTGGTAATATTGCATGGCAATTCTGTTAGGGGAACCCTTTCTGGCTTTCTTTTAAAAATAAGTTTAATTTTGGGGGGGTGGAGAGGGAGGAAATGTGCTTTTCCCAGTCTCGTGTGTATAGGTTATGTATCAGAATGTATGCTCTTCTGTGGGTAATATACAAAATGATTCATACAGGTCTTCAGCTGTGGTTGAATCTGAGCTTTTGTCTAGTGAAATGGTTAAACTGCTTTCCTCAACGCTTAAAGGGATGTTGTGAAAACAAACTGGTATTTATGCAGTGCTTTGAAGGTTTAAAGTGTGCATTATTTATTTACCATTATCATCAGAGAAGTGATTGATAGCTTCTACTTATGCTGGTATTGACATGAACCTGTGAATAATATATATCAAGAGAATGTCAGTTTGTATGCAAATGGAAAAACCAAATGGAAGGGATCCTTTGAAATGATAAAGAAATAAAACAACAAAGCTATGGAGCAACCTTAAAAACATATTGTGGTGTTAAAATTTCTGAATCTATGTTCTGTGTTATCAACAACCTTGCATGCTGGTCATTGAGGACCAAAATGATCATAATTTAACAACAAGGAACATTTTTCATTCAGAAAGAATTACACCCAAAAAAAAACCCATTAGTGTTTTTAAATTAATAGAAGACTGGCAGTAACTCTCTATGGCATCTACTTAATAAGCTGTTCAAGTGATTTAGTGATCAATGAGCACTGACATTCCAAAAAGGGAACAGCAAACTTTGGCATTCCTTTTGGCACTGCTCCCTCCCTCTTTTCTGCCTGTGGTATAAGAGACATATCCTTGGGAACCTGTGACTGCCCTAGGCAGAACACCTTCACTGTTGCTTGCAGAAGGCTGCTGGGAAGAAAAATGCAACAGATCTCCTTTCCTCCTGGAAAAGGAAAAAACCAAACCATTCTCTGAAATGCTGATGGAGCAGAGCATTTAATCTTAGGCAAGGATAAGGCTATTCCAGTGCAGGTATAAGTTCAGGTTCCTTGTGTAAAATGGGTGAGACTCTCAGGCCTTGCTGAAGGAGCTCTGAAAATGCAGAGGGTTTGATAGAGAACCACTGTGTTTGAGAACATTACTGGAGGCTGTGGAAGAGCTGGAAATGCCTGCTTGAATGCTCCACAACAGTTGACCCTACAGAAAAAGGAAAATTTTCTGTTCCACAAGGTCACCAAGTAACCATTAATGATCCTGATGCCTGGAGGGGCCATGCCTGAAAGTCTGGACTGCATGAAGACTTTTCTTTGCCCTCTCTCCAGACACCTCTGCCACGGGTGTCTATATACAACCTCACAGACCCATGTCTATACAGTTTGTGTATGATATGCATGCATGATATGGTAGGTCTGTGGAGTATGCCATATATGTCACATATGTGGGATTTTCAAATCTCTCATACATATATATACACAGCCTTACCTTTTTTTTTTTCTTCCATGTGCAGTGATGGATGTGTTTTTGAAAAATGAGTAATTTCTGCTGCTCTCTTTTCACTGAATTCAGATACAGATGTTTGACAGGGAGAAGGAAGTTTTTATTGTAAAGAAAATGAGCCTATTTTCCTAAATCCAGTGAGAGAAAATAAAACCCAAGGATGGTGTTCACATTAAAGGGACCAGACTTTAGTAGGAATAAATTGGTGTGACTTGGCTAGTATCACTGAAGATGCACTGATTACCTGTGCCTTTGAATCTGAGTCCAGGTTTTTGGTTTTTTGGCCCATTTTAATGCCTTCAAATGACTCTTACTTTATTATTAGAAGATACTGTGCCAAGGCAGAAGATACTGTGCCAAGGATCAGCCCTGTGTACACAGTGATCTGCCCTTTGCATTGGCACATACGTGTGGGGCTTGGCACTGATGGAGCAGGGAGTGCCTGTCCTGCTCAGACAGCACGGTTTTGCAAATTGTCTGTTTCCCATTGCTTCTTTCAGGTTCATACTTACAGAGGTAATGAGTAAAGACAATTCTACTCTGGAGGCACCTTTATAGCTGATGAAAGGGACTAATAGTCCCCACCACAACATATTTGTTAGCATACCCTTCAGATGATAATTACCTCTACCAGAATTTGGTAGCTAGTCCTTGCTCCTCTGCTCTTCCATTGCCCACCTCCTTGTTCTGACTTGACTTGTGTTATGGTTATACCCCAACATTAAGTACAGCACTTGGTTTCCAAAACTGAGGCAAGTGGAATAAGGGATGTGTTGTACCTTGGAATTTGTAGGTCACTTTAGCTAGACAGACATTTCAGGACCGCCATCAAAATGCTTCTATCTTGTGGAGCTACTCTTGGGAGAGCGGGCGAGGCTTGAAATGCATTCTGTAGTTGGCTTTCCTTGTCAGGTTTGATTGCAGGAGGTTACGATAGGACTGGATGAGCTTTGACTGGGATTTCCAATCTGCAGAAAATGTTATTGGGCAGGTCACTGTGAGCCTTCCCCACTCTGCTGGCCTCCCATCCGGATGGCTGGAGTGATGTGCTGCAAACTGACAGCTCAGGGACGTGTGAGCGAGCTGCTCTCTGGAGTGCAGCTGCTCTGCTGGGCATTGCTAAGGTGCAGTTGGAATCTGCTGAGATGCCACTGGCTCTCTGCAGTGTGGCAGAGGAATTAATGTTTGGGTACCACTGCTGCAGCACTTGAAGGGCACCCTGGCACAACACCCACATTGCTAGGGAAGCTCCATTTCTTCTTTTTCTCTTTCCCCTTCTTTCAAACTCTGTGAAGCAAAGGAGAACCTTTGGTCTGGATTATAGAAATTGCTACGTGGTATTGTCTTTTTAGGGGCTAAAAAGAAAGCTTATTTCTTCTTTCCTCTCTGCCTGAATCTCTTTCATAGACTGCTTTTTTTCCCCAGTGCTTTTCACTGTCTTACAGTCCTTTTCTTATCTTCTACTAGGTAATTTTTGTCTTTTAAGACAAATATAATCTCTACTTTGCTGTCAGCAAACAAAACAAACAAACAAAGTGTTTAACCTAACACTTTTAGGTTAAAAAGCTAGTCAGTAAAAACGTTACTCTATTGTCTTCTTCAGTTTTGATTTATGTGCATGATCTGGGAGGAAGGGAAAACTTAATTTTAGAAATGTCACTGTGGAACCTTTGGAACCCTAATACCTGTACCTCATTTTGCAGTGGGCTGTGTGTGAAAGCACACACAGACCTGATGCGTGCTTTAGCCAGTAATAAACGTTGCTTCTCTGTCAGGGAGTGGTAAACAAAGACACATGGATGCTGAAATTTAACTTCTGAGCTAGACCCTACCCTATTGGAAGCAATGGTCTGGAAACACTTTTGAGGAGCTGCTGCAGGAGTATTTATGTTATGCAAGATAGAGATGGACCAGTGTGTGAATAAAGGTTCAGGGCACTCAGGGACCAGAGGGAATTGTCCTACAAGCCACTGGATGTACCTGGAGAAGCCTATCTCCATGGCTTCTCTAAGCCCTCTATCCTCTAATGTACAAGAATGAGAAATTCTGTGTCCAATGTATTTTCTTCATGCCACTGCTGTATTGTCTTCCTGATATTAGGGTTTCTGTCAAAAATAAATATTGTTGATGTTTTCTTCTACTAGCATGCATTTATGGAGGCTTAAGACTCTGACTCACTTCTTGCTTTCATGCTAAACAGGTTAAGTTAGGTAGCTACCAAAACACAGGGTTCAAGAGGGAGGTCAGAGAAACATTTGTTAATGCACAGCCTGTTTAGACAGGTCTTCATATTGATCTTTTTTAAACCTCAGCATTCACTCCACTCTCTTTATTTGTTTTACTTTTTGAAAACATAATGGTTATGAAGTGAAGCAGAGTTACCAATATCTGACAAACAAAGAGGATGGATTTGAGGTTTCTTTTTTACGTTTTTTTTTAACCTTTAAGTCAAGTAATTACTTGCTTTAAAATGTATTATTTTAGAAGCAAAAGACTCACCAGGAGTTCAAATGGTTGAACTGTGATGGAGTTTGAAGTGGCTTAATTATATCAATATGAGAATTATTCACTGGCCTGTTGCACTCTATACAGCTGATAAATATCTGTAGAGCGCTGAGTGTCATAAACATCACCAGTTTTATCCAGAGACAGGAAGCATGATGTTTAAAAACAAGTAAACCTCTTCTGTCACCCCAGGAAACCTATGGGATAAACAAAACAGTCCTGAGAACTTACAAGGAATTGTTTTGTAAAGGGAAATATGTTTTGAGATACAGAACAGGATGCTCATCTCATGTACTGACTGCCTCTTCAGCTA